AATTTAGGTAAGTACCAAAATTATATTTTATTATCTTATCAGATAAAACATAAATTATCATTAGGTAGTAAATTTTACACTTTAGATTTAGTATCAAAAAATAATTTGTTTGACAATAATATATAATTATTTTATTATTTTTAAGGAATTTACTCGCATGATAAACCATGGTGCTGGCTTTTATTGCAAAGTGTAGTACGAATTTTGGAATTGTCATTAGCCTGCATGTTAGCAAACCTAACAAAACAACCAGTGAACGTTATACACCACACTCAATACACGCATCCATTGAGAGCGAAACTTCGAGGGTCATTTTTCATTTAGGGCCTGAAAATCAAAAATTTAAAGGGTTAATTTTATGACTTAAAAAATAATGCAATCACTGAGTTAATCTTAAGTCTGACGGGAGTACTACGCAAATGAGATCGGGACCATTATTTCAAACGTGCAATACAGATTTTAAAAAAACAGAGTTTATATTAATATATAATATAAATTTTATATTACCTTTATGAGTCATTTACTTGAGATGATATTATTTTCTTTATTATTCACTTGATTGTTTTTAACATTATTTGCGTAGTATTCCTTAAGAAAACATGCAATCGATCTTATTTTTAATAACCTAATTTCCTTTTATCTCACCTTACACATATTATATAGGTATCTACCACCTATACACACAAATATCTTTATAAATATTAAATATATAATAAATATATACATAAATATAATATTTCACTAGCATTTTAGGTATATTTTTAGAAATTCGAGTATCATTACTCAAAAGTTTAAATACTTTATTTTACACTATTATTAAGTATAAACAAATGCATTCGGAAAAGAAATCTGAGTTACCAAAAATATTTTATGTTACCTATTATAAATGTATGTTACCTATATCAATGTATGTTATAAATCGTACGTGTGTATGATAGGCGATTAGGATTTACTGAGCATACGTATTATTTTATTGTATGCTGTGGCGCATTTAAAATTGAATCAATAAAATTATAGTCCATAAATAATAAATATATAGTAATGGCCTTATGTAGTAGTGCAAATATTATTCGTGAGTCGTCCCATAGGTACCTAACCTTTTACAAAACCTTTTCGCTGTAATAACGACGTTAAATCTTAAATTAATTTCTGGTTGTATGGATAAAGAGTTCATTACGGTACCATATAATTAAAAGTAGCATTAACTGTTTATCATAAACATGTTAGAACTAACAATACATAATTGTAATTAAATTATATAAAAATACGAAGTATAAATAATTGTTAAAAAAAAAAGCTAGGAGAACACACCTGAATGTTATCCGGTCCTGTCCCTGATAAATGCCCCACTCTTCAAAACCATCACTACGTTAAAATAAATTTTCTTAATGAATTATTATTATACTCTATACAGAATAAACTATAAAAATAGATTGGGTATTAGTAAAGTACGAATAATTATTGATATAAATAATAATAAAAATAATATTTCTTTTAAAAATAATTTATTGTTTATAAATTTTTACTTTTGCCTTAAAAAGTATAGTATGTAATATATAATATGCCTATATATAGATATTAGGTTCATTATCCTACGCGTAGTAGAATAATAAATTATAATATCAAATATTTCAAAAATGTCAATTATAATTTTTAGATAGGTACCTAGAATTGTTTTTTGTTACCTATAATAGATTAAGACTAAAGAGTATAGGTGCCTCTATGTATTTTTAAATCATGAGAAATAGTTAGGTATTTACATTTTAATGACAGATAAATAAGTATTTCAGTAAATTTAGTAAGACTGTACTTGATTTAACTATATATATATATAGTATATACGTTACCTCTACACGTTATACAATAATAACATTCAAATGATATTTAAAAAACATCAAAATATTCTTTTGGAATGTCCATGTATGTAATCTACAACACCTATTAATAACCTAGATAGGAATAATCTATATTTATGAACGAAATATCACTTAAATAATTATTTCTAATAACATAATGGTATATACAAACATTTCTGGTTTAAAGGATAGGGTTATTTAAAAAATAATATATATTACCTATATAAAAACATTTTCACTTTTTTGTATGGTGAAAAAAAGCCAAGATGGATTTGAACAAACCCTCGCCCTATATGTATATACCACTTAAAAAGCATATATAATATACCTAGGTATCACCTATGTAAAATATACATAGAATTATTCAACAATCATGGTCAACTCCATTTTTTCCCTATTAATAATAAATTTATTCAAATTCTGATTTTTAGAATTTAGAAGTATACTTACATAAAATTCATATTTTCAAGTACTTTTTAAATCACTTAAGTAATATCCTGTAATGATAAAAACGTATTGTTTTTTCAATAAAAACCAAACATTTTTTATATATATTGTTAGATAGATATATTTTTTTTTTTTTTTTGAAAATTATTTAAATATATCTAAATCAAAATTTGAACACGTTCTAATTAATTACAATGTAAAATAGTTCTTACAAATAATCTTACATAAATACGTAACAGATGTGATACTTAATAATTAATCTAGTACTTGCTTACTATATAAATTATGAAATGTCAACAAATTAATATGAAATAAAATAATTTTTAAATAATTATAACCCCCCAAATCTTCCATTCAGATTATCATTATTTGAATAACACAAGTTAAAACTTTAAAGTTAAAATTTTAATTTACTTATCTACACAAACAATTTTTTTAACTATTTATTTAACAATTTACAGAAAAAAAAAGTGATTCTCATTTAAAAAATCAAATATTTTAAAGTATAGTTTTTAAGTATAGATACTAAAAAATTCCAAAAATTAGAATTTAATAAATAAATTATTAAAAGAATGAATTGGATGAGCATGCTTGCCATATCATACATATATGTGTATAAATAAATTATACATGCAAAGCTATAATAGCTTAAGTGTAAGTAGATATTTTCATTTTAAGAGGACATGATGACTGTATGTATAATTGTGTCTTCATCTTACAATTGTATAATTCAGCAACTCTGCATTCAGCAGAATCCAATTATGAGTTGTGTAGGAAGTTTAAGTATTATCCTAGGTACCGTAAATATTGAAAAATTATCAAATTGAATCGTGAGAACATTATTTGTGTTCCCAAGTCAGTTATTTTTGATATTTTAATATTTTAATTTTAAATTAAATTATAAGTAAGTAAAATTATATTTAATTTAAAAAATACTTATAACTTGCTATAAAATTTAAACAACAAAAAAACATTGAGAATCAGAGATAATATTCTTACTTTTAAATTTAATAATATTAAAACTAATAACACAAAATGGGTTTTGCTTTGCTGAATTCAAATTCATTAAGTTATAAGTTTATAAAACACAAGTAAATACAGCATCATTTCCTCCAAATAACTGAACTGCAATAATTATATCAATATTTTTAACTATTAAATATTATTTTTCATGAAAGTTGTATTTGTGGTATTTATTAGGTGTATAATTAATTATAGAATTTAGTATATTTTGTCATTTATTAATTATACAATATATTATAAATAATATATAAATCAATAAAAAAATATAGTCTTTTTTTTAAATCATTTAGTTTATAAAAAATATTGTAACTCTTTATTAGAAAAAATTACTAATTTATCTATAATGAAACAATTTATTTATTATTTATTAATTAGTATTAAGTATCAAATGATTCTGCAAAAATTAATAATAACAATAGTCTAAACAAACATTAAGGTTGTATACCTATTACCCACTTACATTTGAAAATTTTCAATTAAATAATAAATACAATTTGATTTATTATATAAAATTATACTTCTATAATTTCTTCACTAACCTATTCATAAAATTAATAACCTTGTATATTTATTAAACAATAATTAAACCTATAATTTATTTAATTTTACTATTTAAAATATTTTTACTTTATGAATTACTCAGAGTTTCTAAAGAAATCTTTAACACCACAGTTATAATATTATATTGTGTATAGTATAAGGGTAAAAATAATTAACAAAAATTTTAATTGTTTATTTTTTTTTACATTACATTATAAAATGTATAAATAAAGTCTTATAGTTATTAATGTATTAATGTTCATTTAATATCTTTTTGTTATGATGTATTAAAATAAGGTAATTAATAAGCGTATTATAGTATTATATTGTATAACCAATGAATATTTTATTAAGATATATTTACCATACAGATCAATATGGACATAGAAGTAGAACTAATATCTTCTATTCATTGATAAAATTTAAAATAATATATGTACTTAGTTCTTTATCAATAAAAAAAATACATTAATTTACTTATGTAGTATGTATAAATTGATTATTTGTATGTAGTATTATTTGCTCAAACCTTCTACCATTGACTATAAAATAATCTAATCTATAGGTAATCAATGCCTCTATTAACCAATCGGTTAAACCTTTACGCTATTTTAGTTAAGTTTAATAAAAAATACACATGTACATTAAGTATATAACACAATATTATGCATATAAAATATAATTTCTATACAACATATAATTTTTATTTATTGTTTATATCATTTTAAAGAACCTAAATTTTAGCGATTAGAATTCAACATCCTAGCATTGATTAGATACATAAATATAAATTTATTTATTATCAATAATTCTAGTTTAATTTGATTTCATATTCTATATTGAAATATTAATTACTAGAAAGTAAAACAATAATACAATTGTTCAAAAAACAAAAAATTAGCTTTGAAAATAGAAAAAATAATGTGATCAAAACAACCAATCACAAAATGAAGTATAATATTTAAAAAATATAAACGAGATTTTAATTTATAGAATGCTTATTTTGATTTCAGTCATTTAAGTTATCATTAGTATTCACCTGGCTGTGATAAAATAATATATTCCTCAAGTTATTGTATAACAGCAATTGAAAATGTTATCTATAATAATCTTCATAAATAAATAATACAAACATATTATATAAATATATATTTTCTGAGAAACATATGCACTATTAATAAAAAATATTAATGCCTAATTATTAGATAGTTTGAAAACTATCTATGTTTAAAAAATAGATCCATAGTATTTTGATATATTTGATTTCCTAAGTAAACAGGGTCTTCATTTTTCAGTGAAGCTAATACTTCAAAGACTTGTCTGAAAAAAAAAACATAAAATCCAATTAAATTAAACAAAAAGTTAATATAACTCTAAACAAGTGATATAACTTCATAAGAGCATTTAATAGCGATAGGGAACATTTTACAAATACATAAAATAAGCATAATATGTAATAGATAGATTAAATATTCAAATACTCTATAATAGCATAAATAAAATAAATACCATACAAAATATAGTAAAATATAGAAATGTGCACATGTGTTATGTTTATTTTAATAATCTATTTTGATTTTTATGAACTTACTTAATAGTTGATGGTTCATTTCTTCCTTTGACCATAGAACCATCAATAAATTTTTCTTTTTTCACTGAATTAAATTTAGTTTGTACATAAGAATAAGAAGGATGTGTTTGTTTTACTTCACACCACGGACAATCTGTTTCCAGCATCAAACGATTTATGGGCAACTCTCGTACTGTTTTTAAATTATCCTCTGTCCGTAATGAACTAAAACATATTACATTTTAATCAAAATACATTTTCAATTTAGAATACTTAGTGAAAAACCAAAAAAAAAAAAAAAAATATTTCAGGGATGAAAAAATGTATCTTATTTTGTAAAATTAATTATAGTTTAATGAACTTAAAAATATTGCTGTATATAATGCAATAATATATATATATATTACATTATATTTTAAAAAAATATTTATAAAATATTATTATTTGTAAACTTAGACTTTATAAATTTTCTGTAATTTTATGATATAATTTCCTTTATTCTAATTTATATATTCAATATAATTTTATCAATAACAAAAGATATTAAAATATACTTGGCATAAGTGTATGTGTGTATATTGAATTTTATATACTATTCTTAAAGAATAAAAAAATTAATAAAATATTTTATGATACTTAAATCTAAAAATATTAGTAATGTTTATACATATTTTGCTTACCATCCATTAATACCAATATAAAACCCTAAGTTAATTATATCTTCAGCCTCTTTTAAACTTCCATCAAAAGAATGCACAACACCTCCTGATTTTATAAAATTTGAATTTCTCTTCAATATTTCTAAAAATGTAGGAGCTGCATCACGGCAGTGCAAAAATAATGGTAGATTAAACTCTTCACTTAATTTTAACTGCATTTCAAAATAACTAAAATAAACATAAATTATAATTTATAGTACATTACAATGCTTAACAGTAATAGTGTGATAGTACAAACTTTTCTTGGATTTCTTTGGAGCAAAAATGTAATCGTTGATTATCAAGTCCACATTCTCCTATAGCTACTACTTTTGAACGATTATTTTTTATCAAGTCTGATAAACTATTTAAATATGATTCAGGACTTTGAGCTTTAATAAACTCATCACAGCGTGTTGGATGACAACCAACAGTGCAGTAAAGATTTTCTGTAACACTTGTTAACATTAAAATATGCATTAAATTATATTTTAAATAATTAATAATATATACCACTCAATGATGCTATCTTTAAAGATTCAATGGAGTCATCTAAACTGCCACTAGTTATAATAATCTTTTTAATATCATTTTTCCAAGCACGTTCCAAAACATTAACTAAATCTTCTTTATGCTTTTTATTACCATTGTATATTCCTTTAAACATGGGATCTGTCAAATTTGCTCCGATATCTAAAATAAATCATAAGTACCTAACCAATAAGTAAATACAAAATACATATTATGTACCTTTTTCATTAATAACAAAGGTACCTAATATAATAACTTACCAATAAATGGAATAGAAGACATTTTTGTTATCTTACGAAGTAAACTTAATTTCGTAAACATTCAACATCAATCATTTAAATAATATTACTTAATACTTTATTATAATTCCATAATAATATGGAATATTATTATCTCATTCCTCTGATAAAAAATACTTAAAAATGATTATTTGTTATCCATACCTGAAATTATAGATGATAAAAATAGTGATATGGGTATATGACGTCACGTATAGCCAAAAATAACCTATAAGGAACTACTGAATAACTGGGTTATTTTTATTTGTATAGTTTTTCAGTTTTTATTGTTTTAAATATTTCTATTAATTCATAATTGTATTTATATTTTATAACTGTAAACTATAAAAGTGTACATTCATTACAAATCAAAAAAAGTATAAATGTTTTCGAAAATATATTTTTTCACATAATTAGAACTAAAACTACCCAAGCACCAAACAACATGTTTTCACTATTTTTATCATCAGTCTTAAGTTTTTATTCAAAATACATTTTTAATTTTATTTAACCTTTCGCAGAATATTTTCTTGAGAATTTTTATGGGTTAAAAAAATGTAATTTTAATCAATTGATTAGATACCTTTAGTGAGTGAATTAGTTACCTATAGATTGACTAAAATTATCAAAAGAAGACGGAAATCGTGCGTATGTGTGGTGTCACCGTTTTTAAACATACGAAATTAAAAATTTAACCTATTTTGTGTTAGCCTATTAGAAAATACCAATTAAAATTAATTAACCTGTAATCAATTATTTTTTCAAGCTTAGATAAGAACAAAATTATACATTAAATTATATCCTTATCTTACCTTCGACAATATAGGTAAGAATATTATTTGCTTTGTACGATTTCTGACGAACTAATGTTGTACACTCCAACAATTTTTACTACGAAATACTAAACCTATTCAAATCTGAATTTGAACATTTTTAAATATACCTAATTTAAGGCTGTATTACTGAGACTTTCTGTTTTACTCAAAATGTGTACTTTTGAGATATATATATCTGTAATTTTTAGAAAACCCACCATTTTTATTTTAAATTACATAAGTTGATAATTTTTTTTTTTTTTTTAATTGTGATACCTAATTCAAAATTTGATCTAACAATTGTTCAGTAATTTAAATGTTTGTACTAAGTATAGTAGTTCTTAAATAGGTTTTACAAAACTATACATTGGATGTAATATTGGATCCAGTATTTAATATTTATTATAGTTAGATTATCTAATATATTCACAAACTTTAAGCGTTGATCGATTTATATTAATTGCTAAAATTTTCAAATAGTCCACATGTCTTACAAACCCATAATTATGGACTTATTATATAAATAGACCTCAGAACACAAAGTTATATAATTCAAAAAATAAAAACCACTTGTTCAAATTTTGATATTGATATATCAACATTTCTAGAAAAATTATCTGTAAAAGGTTGAACAGAATAGAGAAAGGGAAGTTATATTATAAAAAACAAGTTTTTATCTTCACATAACATTCCTTTAGCAGTATAAAAAAATCAAACATTTAAAAATACTCTACCTTTACGTAAAATATAAGTAGTAAGGACTAAGAAATTCTAATAATCATATTTTAAATAACTGCATTATTGAAAAAAAAAAGGAAATTACCATACCTACTTATTGCTTAGTGAATTGCCCTGTATAATATGTGTACCTCTTCAACTACAATTCATCTTGTTATAAACATAAGAACATTATATATTTCTGTATAGTCATGTCTAAATAGTTAGGGTTCGTGGATACTGGATAATATGTTTGTGACCTATGGACTATGAGTGGATTAATTAGTAGGAAAAGTCAACTTGTGGTCTATAATCGAATAAATAATAACAATATATAAAGCCTGATCCACATAATCACGCAGGTTTATACAGAAAAACCGGTAAGCAATAATTGTGTATTTTAATAACAGATATAGATAAAAAATAAAATAAAAAGTGGTAAAATGGTTATACTTATAACTTTACATAGGTATTACTAAATAGGTAGGTACATTAATATAGCTGACAAGTTATTTACCAGTATACACATTTTATAGTAAATAAAAAATTTAGATAGATAAGTATCAAAAAAAAAAAAAAAAGCTCAAGATTCTATTTTCCACCAATAATACAAAATTGTAACAAATAAATAATTTAAACGTTGCCAGTAAAAATTGTATTTTTTTAACAAATAAAAAATATAATTTGTAAAAGATTTATCACATGATAATAATTTTATATAAATAATTATATCATATTATATCAATAAAACTCAAATGTTCAAATATCAAATAATGATAAAATTAAAATTTACATTTATTTTTAAAAGTGTTACTAACGTACCTACTATTATTTATATTATTTTTAACGTCTATAATAATAATTTTTAGAGCATATTTAAGCAAAAAAATAAAAAATGAAACAGTATTTTTTATATAATTTTTAATTAATACAATAAATACAAATTAGTACCTACCTACTTTTATATTTTTGTATTTTACACACAATATAAAAATTATCTAGTTAAATAGTCATATACCTATTATTATATACATTTTAAACAACACAAAGCATAATAATATGTAGTAGTTATCTGGCTACACCTTCAGTCATTTTTTTTTTACAAGTAATCAAAATTACGTATTGTAATTTATTCTGTAATCTAAACACAGAAAATAATTATTAAATTTTAATGAAAAAGGGTTATACATTTTTACACTTATATTGTTATTTAAACAACAGAATATAAAATAAAAGTTAGTAAAAAAATATAATTATATAACCATTTATAACAATTGTCAATTCAAGTTGTATTTAGATTTTAAGATCAAAAAATTAAAAAAACTAAGTATGTACATTAGGTTTAGGTATACCACTATATCATTTAATGAGTAGGTATGTGTATAATATGTATAATATTTATATACTACCTATAGCTTAATATATTAAATTTATATTGACAATTTAACGCGTGACATCTATATATAAATCCTATGGTACTTATTTTATACGCCAAGCCAATCATATTACAATATAATAATATACTTATCATTACAAAATATTGTATGTCGATTACTGGCCACGGAGTAGGGGACAAATTCTGACACCGCAGTAGGTTAAGAAGACGTGTTGAATGTAACGATGCGGTTAGACAACAGTTATGCATGAACAATTTATACATTTTTAGTAACCGAACAACGTATCAATAGTTTTTGGTTCGAATTTAAAATAATATTATTTCATATTTTAATGTGTCATTCACATGTGCAGTGCTCGTTATCTTATTGATCCCCTCTATTGCTATAAGTGGATATATCATCATTCATCCGAAGGACTATAATACGCAGGTGAAAGTTTTATCTAATTATTACATCTATCAATCATAAATTTTAATAATAAATAGGATTTTAATATTTTATACCTAATAATTCCACTTACTTCTGCAGTAAGGCTGACAATTTAGTACAGAATTATATTTACATAATAAATTTAGGGATATTTTCTATACTGAAAACACATTATATATTTATATGTGTGTGTGTGTGTGTGTGTGTGTGTGTGTATGTGGGACGTGGTTTTTCTGTAAAAAAAAAAAATAGTAATTTAAAGGAATCTTGCAACATCGACGTACATATATCATCAGATTGTCTGATCAGTAACGGAGTGAACTGCAATGCTCGCTCATAAAAACTTATAGGTAGGTACCACATAAAAATATTCTGCTTTGAAGTATTAATTTAAAAATGGATTTCATTATTTAAAAAGTAAAAATTATAAGTAATGACGATTAAAATTGTAATATTTTTCTTAAAAATGCGGTTTTATAATGGCTTTAATCATGCAAAACAATATTTTCAAAAAATTTAATATTTATAGAATAATAATGAGAGTTCTTTGATAAAAATAATTTCCTACTCGTATCTATACACAATGGACAACGACACCGAAATGCTCTACAATCCACATTTATAGATAGGACCAATAATAGGTGCGAGTGTCTGACAACAGTGATTATTATGAATACATTATTATTTTTAGCTATATTTTTCATTTGATTAATGTATTGACAGTTTCTAGTCAAAATTTGACACCAATTTAGCAAGAATCAAGAATTTTTAAAATTTATCAATTTTAAATAATACTAAAAAAAGTAATTAAATTAGATTATAACCTATATGTAATATAATCTAAAATCCTCAAAAATAATTGTTTGCTCGCGTCGGTAAACATTAAGTGTAGCCGTGTATAAACCTAGTATAATTCGTATTATAATATAGTATTAGGTACATAATACTGTAATAGCCGAGGATCTTTTATTTATATACCAAATCATTTTAAATTTTCAAATAAATCACGTGCCTATTTTTAAAGTAAAAAAAATTAAAATACCACAGGTATACTTTATGAAAGACAGACCACAGTTTATTTAAACATTAATGTTACGCTGTATATTTCACCTTCTTTGACGAATTGTAAGACAGAAAGTAGTTTATCGTATTTAAAACATACAATACTACAATTATTGCAATCTCAAAACCAGATCACCACTACATTACTATCATACCGAATGCCGATTAACATACATATAGGTATCTACTGTGTAATGCGTATATTACATGTATGATTGTGCTCTATATAATACGATTGTGGTGATTGCATTTAATGCCATTTATACAAATGTTATAAACTCTTATAAAATATTCAAATAAGAATTTTAAATAATATGCCACGTTATAATTTATGATAAAGTGTCTCCGTTCTTCACCACCGATCAGATGACATCGGCGTCCCAAAATTATACAGTTTGTTGACGATTAAGTAGATACTTTTAGTTATCTAGTGAATAATTAAATAAAGTGTGCGTGTTTTCTTCGTCTTATAAATTTACAATGTAGAAAATTTGCATTAATATTTTAATTATATTGTTTTATTGTCAGCTTATACAATAAATTACTCATTTCAATTAAAAATTAAAATATATTAAAAAACCAAAGTACAAATATTATGTAATGTTCTTGTTCTTAAGTTTAATTATAGATCAATTATTTTAGTAAAATAGTAAAACATAGAATTAACATAATAATATAATATAGACA